AAGGCCTCATAAANTTAAGGCCGGTGATAGTAAAAGGACCAAAGTCATAGAAACAAAGCCCTGGGCTTATAAGTTTTTATAAAAAATTAAAACAAACTTCCCAAAAGGCCAATTAAAGACGGGGATTAAGTACAGTGTCCAACGGATGACGCTCTGGCGCCAATTTTAGGGGAAAAATGCCGTTTTCGGAATTGGGATTTTCTCTATAACCAAGACAGCTATTCAAGTGATTCAAAAGGCCTCATAAAGCTGGGTGAAAGCACTTCAGCGCGGTACCAGGGAATTGTCTTAAACTATTTACTTTTGATTTTATCATCTTTTACGTTAAATTACCCCATATTTCAATGGGTTATTCACTTCAAAAGACTATAACTTTCAAGCAAACCCCTGACATCATGCTGTAGTCCACATTCCCAACAACAATAGGTGCAACTTTTGTAATGATCGGTTGCTCAGATAGTGAGATATACTTGGCAGCGATTCACTTATCTCGTCAATATAGAAAGCTGTTAAAACAGCCAAAAACGTTCACAGGTTGGTTAACAGAGCTTATTAGTCAAATGCTTAGCTGGCAAATTTACCTGTTATCGGTTATACTGTAACACAGTTGGTAGCAAGATGAGCTTTTACGTAATATTTAGCAATTAAACCTTTTGTGTAATAGACCAATGCCACACCTGGCTTCCTGTGAATATATTAGTCACACCGCTGTCATCTCTATCTCTATCTCAGATTTTCTACAAGAGCAATTCCAAGTGATTAACCTTAAATCTCTCAAAGGTACAGAGAAATCTTAAGCTATCTTGAAAGTCGGTGTTGGACGGTGCTACCTTTACTGGAGATGCAAATGTGACCATCGAGCCTTATGAGATAATACATTCGAAGGGCCGCACATATATTATATTAAGTGCCCAGTATTATGTTTATTAATCATCAATTACGGGTGAAAGTATTGTTTTATCAACGAGCATAATATAGAATAGTTTAAGGCCATGTAAGTTCATGTAAGTTTAAGGCCATGTAGCCAGTATAACAGGTAACCGTTTATATAAGGAGAATTTCCTGTCACCATCAGGCACGGTAAACAGTGACCTCACCCTCAAAATTCTGTATAAAGGGGCATCCTGATTTCTACACAGAGAACTAACGCTAGACCGATCCCAGGGACGTCAGAGTGACCAGCAACGCCGAGAGCACGAGAGGGAGACTGAGGACTGAGGACGGCCGGGTCAATCAGAGCCTAGATCGAGGGAACGATTGGGTCACTGTCTTACCGTAGCGCTGTGCCTACCTGAGCTAGATGTCCCTGTATATGTAACGGGTTAAAGTAATAAACTGTATTAATAGGGAAACCTATCCTAGACTGTTGTGTCATTCTTACGAACCTCCGCGCACACGCCAAACAACCGCACCGGCCCCGTTACAATACAATCAGGTGGAACCATTGCTCATTGTCATCTAAAAATATTTTGTTTGGGTGCTTTGAAAGGGCAGAAAATCGTGCTTTTGTTACATTTTCCGACCACTCGTTAGGCCTGTAAGCGTGCCGCCATTTTGATTGACAGCTCTGGAGAGGGCCCTAGCCTAGTGATGCCCAGTAGGGTGTCAAGGATATGTAGAAGGAAGCGCTAACAAAGGCGATTACGTTTAACCGCAATTAAGAGGTGTGAAGTTGCATTTGAACGTTTCAATGGCTTTTCCTCGGCAATCGAGTAATTTTACCTGAGAGATTCCTTTTCTGTTATCGGCAAAGTGATCTGATAAAACTGTCTGTCGAGAGCAAGTGGCCGTCACTTGTGTTAATACGAGTTTTTTGACGGTTAACGCTGCAGGATTATTTTGCACGGCACTTGGTAATCGTCAGATCAACGGAAAAATCCAGTGATTACTTCAGAGCGGTATCTCTCAAAATGCCAGCTAAGATAAAGGGGAGACGCTCAGCTGCACAAGATTCAGCGGTAAAAGTGGCTGAGAGAAAGCTTTTGAATAAATATTTTATTTTTACACACTTGACACTTAGATCCTATTTGTGTTTTACGTGCTAGTCTTGACTATTCTCGGGGTCTTTTTGTGATTTTCATTTTTGGATACATTTTGAACTCTTTCTTCACGCTTGATCAGTGATTTTGAAATTGTTTTTCTCCAAACATCGAAAAATGCAAAGCCGCTAACATGCGTTTTTATTTTTATTGTTTTAATCATGCTGTCAACCCTTGCTTGGATTTCTCTCGTTTGGCAATTCACATCACAATTTTTCGCGTGTCTCTCAAGCTCCATGATATCATATCTTGGAGAATAAAATTTTATTTTGTCAACATTAGATTTACCTTTTGCAAACGGCGACCAACAATCATTTCCGGTTTCGTAACGTGTCGCAGATGCGCTCGCCGATATACATCGCAAAAATTAAGAGCTAGGCTAAATGTATCCTTTTTAGCGTTTTTTTTATCTATTTATCGATTTTTCTTTCATTTGTCAATTAATTTAGACGATTCGATTAACTCTTTCACCCATTTATTAGGTATACAGAAATCAGTCATCCGACTGAACAAATAGGGCCGGTTTTCCCCAACCGCCACGCATAGGTCCTACTCTCTTTCAAAATTTTCTTTCTTTCCTCTGGAAATGGACTTTTAACACGAACTTTTCTCTGCCCCAAAGTGTACTAGCTAGACTTCTTCGCTGCTAAGCTGATGTAAGACTTATGACCTATTACCGCACACGTAATCGGCTTATAACTCATTAACTGTACTCCGACCCCCTCATGGCAACGGCCCTTAGTAACAGAGGCGTGGCTTAGTTGTCAGCCTGACTGGGGCGCGTGTCGGTTGAAAAACTCATCAAAAGACACATTTTGCGATGCAAATTTATAAAAATTATTACATCCAACGTTAGATACTTTTTTGATTAATATAAACACACAAAAAACTCAAAAACATGATTTTAAGCGTAGTTAACCCTATCACCGGCCTTAACCCAGTGATACCCCCATCTTCCCACTGCACCACAACATACAGATCTGCAATAATTGCAGCATACTTTAGCTTCAAACTATTAAAATTGAAAGTTGTTCAATATATTTCATGTACGTAGCAGGGGCATATTAAGGGTCTTTCATATCTGGGTCTTTCAGAAGACAGATTTTCAAGTTTACATTAACGGGTATTTAATTTTTTGGGGGGTCNACCTATTACCGCACACGTAATCGGCTTATAACTCATTAACTGTGCTCCGACCCCCTCATGGCAACGGCCCTTAGTAACAGAGGCGTGGCTTAGTTGTCAGCCTGACTGGGGCGCGTGCCGGTTGAAAAACTCATCAAAAGACGCATTTTGCGATGCAAATTCATAAAAATTATTACATCCAACGTTAGATACTTTTTTGATTAATATAAACACACAAAAAACTCAAAAACACGATTTTAAGCGTATTTAACCCTATCACCGGCCTTAAAATACTACTCCTGCGCATACGGCGATGTGCCTGCTGAGTTAGTGTCCAAGCGAGGAAAGGGACATGTAGTGTGCGTCAGATTAGCCGCATTCAGAACATTGGACTAACAAGTCTGCAGGTCAAATATGGCGACCCAGTACAAAGCATGCCGTCTAATCCGCTAATAGACATTGAATAGATATCCTGTGGGGAAGTATTCAAGTGGGTCGGCCATATTGAACCCTCGGACTAGTTAGTTCACTGTTCTGAATGCGGCCATTGATCCAAAGAACACCTTACTTATATAATCATATTATCGGCAGTGAATAAGAAAACAGTCATCTGAGCTGAGCTGTATGCACTGACGCCGGTACATCAGCATGTCGCTAAAAGTGTAAGCCGGCCTTAAGAGCCCTGTCCTGGTCCTCAGAAGAGGTACACTGTTAACACGGTAGCTTTGTTTGCCGAAGATTTTGCCGCTTATCACCACAATATTGATTTTAAAACACGTGTTGTGTTTGGTTTCGAACGGACGTGCATTATCTCAAGCCTAATTTGTATACGACGTTACCCAATAAACTCTGTACCTACATCCGAAAATACATAAATGTGTTACTTATAAAGGTAGGTTTTAAAAAGCAAACAGAGATATAAAAAGTCGCTTCCGTTGCAAGATATTTCAACATTTAAAGGAATGAGCAATTTGTTAACGTTCACTTGTAAAGAGGGGCAAGGGTTAAACCAAAAGCGCGTCTCCTCAATGTTCGTCCGGAAGAGTTGTAATTTGGATTCCGAACGTGCATTTAATCAACTGCAGCTCTGGCAACTTTTTAAGTCTGTCACCTTTATCAGGGAAAGTGGATTTCCAGAGAACAGTGCACACTGCCGTACTCTTGTTGACCTACCGTCCCCACGCACACTGCCGTACTCTTGTTGACCTACCGTCCCCACACACACTGCCGTACTCTTATTGACCTACCGTCCCCAAGCACACTGCCGTACTCTCGCTGACCTACCATCCCAACGCAAACTGCGGTCATCTGGCTGACCTACCGTCCCAGCGCACACCACGGTCTTCTCGCTGACCTACCTTCACAAAGCACTCTGCGGTCCTCTCGCTATGCGACTCATAGTTGGTTTAAAAGTTGGGACCTGTATTTTAGCCTGCTTGATCCAAGATTAATCAGCTGCAGCCCTGTCAATTTCTATAATCTGTCACCTTTATTAAGGAAAGTTAATGGCTTTCCAGAGAACAGAGCACACTGCGGTCCTCTCGCTGACATACCGTCCCAACGCACACTGCGGTCGTCTCGCTCACCTACCTTGCCAGCGCCCACCACAGTCTTCTCGCTGGCCTCCCTTCACAAAGCACACTGTCGCTCTCTCGCTGATCTACCGTCCCGGCGGGATCTTTCCACTAGATATTTTATTGATATATAATGCCCAACTGCCTTTCTTATACTGAACTCACTTCGTGGTTTTCTTTTTATTTGTCAGTTTTATTTTGCTGTTGCCATTATTAAATTTTTCCTAAATTGAACATTCACGTTACCCTTAGATGCCATCGTTCCACCGGATTGCAGCTTCGAAAGTGGCGACCTCTGCAGTTGGATCCAGATGTCAGACGATGATTTTGATTGGTCATTAAGGCGGGGAAGGACGCCCACTGGAAGAACTGGACCTGATGCTGACCATTCATATGGAAACAGTGAGTGTAATGGCTAAAATGCGTCTTAACTGCCTGGCCACAGTTAACATGCAAGTAATCAGTATCGTGTTTAAGAGTCCTTGGGTCTTATTATTATTATTATTATTATTATTATTATTATTATTATTATTATATGATGTTTTCCAGGGCGCAATGTTGGTTGTATTGACAATATCCATTGTTACTTGTGCGCCTTCAAAGAGTTATGTCTAATCAGCATATTCGGAGGGATTCGGTATTTTGATGAGGAAGAGGGTTTCAGGGGTTGGGGATCAGAATATAAGGACAACGCCTGATACCGATATTGTTTTAATTCGCAACCACGACTGAATTATGCGAAACAATTTTTGTATTTAATGATTAACTGCTTCATCATTTATTTATCTATTTATTTGTTTGTTTGTTTTCTTATTCATTTAGCATTTACTTTATTTATTCATTTATTCATTTAGCTTCCGGAACCTACATCCATATAGAATCTTCTAACAGGCTTTTCATGGAAAGGGCGAAAATAGAGAGTCCGATAATGAATTCGTTCCTCCTCGGTCAAAACCAATGCGAGGTATGTCTGCACTGAATAAAAAAGATAAACATGAAGTATCTGTATTGATCCAAACGAACTCATGTTCAGAATTTTGTTATTTCTAAATTCCAATACATGTATACAAACTGTAGTTAGATGTACGTATAATCAAAACTGTGAGACGGTTAAAGACATTCTGTTACTCATCATATTTCCACGCCAAGCCAAGCACAATTTTAGATGTTTTTTAAAATACCGGTAATTATAAAGGATAAGTTTTGTCGTCATTTCTATCCACAGTTCAGTCTCTACTATCACATGTACGGAGATGATGTCTGGGAGTTAAGGGCATGCGTACAGATGTTGGCGGACGGTAGCTGTTTCCAAGGCAACCCAGTTGTCGCAAGTTCCAACCAGGGAAATATATGGAAAAAATACACGCAGGCACTCCCCGCCTCACAGGGGCAGTTTAAGGTACATATGTACAGTAAGAACAACATCAGATTAATGTAAGAACAACACACGGACAACCAGCAATACCCACTGCCATGTTCCCCATTCCACGGTTCTTTCTCGTCGTAACAGATCTCTTTGTCTCATTCACAGAAATTTTGTCGCTGTTGCTCCAACCGATTTTAAGAACTAGACTGAGTATTTTCTATTAAAAAAGAATAATAAAAATATTTTCCTGAACCAAAATCATGTACCTNGCAGCACTGGAGAGGGCCCTAGCCTAGTGATGCCCAGTAGGGTGTCAAGGATATGTAGAAGGAAGCGCTAACAAAGGCGATTACGTTTAACCGCAATTAAGAGGTGTGAAGTTGCATTTGAACGTTTCAATGGCACTTCCTCGGCAAACGAGTAATTTTACCTGAGAGATTCCTTTTCTGTTATCGGCAAAGTGATCAGATAAAACTGTCTGTCGAGAGCAAGTGGCCGTCACTTGTGTAAATAAGAGTTTTTTGACGGGTAACGCTGCAATATTATTTTGCACGGCATTTGGTAATCGTCAGATCAACGGAAAAATCCAGTGATTACTTCAGAGCGGTCTCTCTCAAAATGCCAGCTAAGATAAAGGGGAGACGCTCAGTTTCAGCGGTAAAAGTGGCTGAGAGAAGGCTTTTGAATAAATATTTTATTTTTACACACATGACACTTAGACAATATTTGCTTTTTACCTGCTAGTCTTGACTATTTTCGGGGTATTTTTGTGATTTTCATTTTTGGATACATTTTGAACTCTTTCTTCCCGCTTGATCAGTGATTTTGAAATTGTTTTTCTCCAAATATCGCAAAATGCAAAGCCGCTAACATGCGTTTTTATTTTTATTGTTTTAATCTTGCTGTCAACCCTTGCTTGGATTTCTCTCGTTTGGCCATTCACATCACAATTTTTCGCGTGTCTCTAAAGCTCTATGATATCATATCTTGGAGAATAAAATTTTATTTTGTCAACATTAAATTTACCTTTTGCAAACGGCGACCAACAATCATTTCCGGTTTCGTAACGTGTCGCAGATACGCTCGACGATATATATCGCAAAAATTAAGAGCTAGGCTAAAAGTATCCTTTTCAGCGTTTTTTTTTTAAATTTATTTATCAATTTTTCTTTTATTTGTAATTAATTTAGGCGATTCGATTAACTCTTTCACCCATTTATTAGGTATACAGAAATCAGTTATCCGACTGAACAAATAGGGCCGGTTTTCCCCAACCGCCACGCATAGGCCCTACTCTCTTTCAAAATTTTCTTTCTTTCCTCTGGAAATGGACTTTTAACACGAACTTTTCTCTTCCCCATAGTGTACTAGCTAGACTTCTTCGCTGCTAAGCTGATGTAAGACTTATGACCTATTACCGCACACGTAATCAGCTTATAACTCATTAATTGTGCTCCGACCCCCTCATGGCAACGGCCCTTAGTAACAGAGGCGTGGCTTAGTTGTCAGCCTGACTGGGGCGCGTGTCGGTTGAAAAACTCATCAAAAGACACATTTTGCGATGCAAATTCATAAAATTTATTACATCCAACGTTAGATACTTTTTTTTATTAATATAAACACACAAAAAACTCAAAAACATGATTTTAAGCGTATTTAACCCTATCACCGGCCTTAATACGTTTAACGGCACGTGCGGAGGCAGAGAGACCATCGGAGGATTAAGCGACGCTGCATTTAAATGAGTCGGGCATATCTAGTCCGCGGATCAGTTAATCATCTGTTCTAAATGGCCTCTTAAAGGTACATACGAACCGAGCATCGGTGGAGCGTGGATTCCCAGTAACACATGTAAACCACTTCAACTAGATTCTTATATGACTCAAATAAATTCGACATGCCAAGGGATAAACTGAATAGATAACTCGATCTGCCATGAAAGACCTTTAAACTGCTCCTTTCTTTAAATTTTTGGTTGTAAATTTAACCTACTTCCGTGACCTACTTTCCTTACCCATTGACATACAGCTTAGAGTGCCAGCAGAAAAATCTGTTCAAACATCATTTTCGGGTAAAATTAAAAAATGCCTTTTGGTAATTCTCTTAGTTATACTATTTGAAACTATATGCTGGCATTTGGTTGGTTTTTGTGACAAAAAAATGGACTTTGTATGCATCTTTAAAGTTCTTCAAATTGCACATTGTTAACCCACAGCGAAGCTTCGTTGAAAGAGAAAATGGATGCGAATTCTTAACGTCCTATTAAGAGTAGTTACTACAGTGTAAGGCGACTTAGACTGCATTTCCAAAAATTTAGATCGATCCATCTGGATCGACCAATCTCCCTGGGGGTTCACGCTAAATTGCTGTCAGAAGAGCGTGCACGGAAGCAGGCCCGTAGCCAGCAATTTCAAAAGGGGGGTTCTTTTTCTGACTTCTAACTTCCGAAGTAAATTTCCCCTTTTTACCCTTTTCCCAGCTTTTAGTAAGCGGGACAGACATTTAAGCCGGCTAAGCTGACAGTAATCTAGTGAGACTCCCCACGGGAAATGCACTCTTAGTCTAACTCAAATGAGTATTATGCTTACCGTAGGTTTTCGAGTATTTCCACCTGTGCCATACAAGTAACAATAGCAAGACCCCTACACAAGGTACCAGGATACAGATAACTGATATAAGTGTTACTGTGGCATTCATCCCATGACATGGGGCACTTTTTTCGTTCTCTGTCGATAAATATGAATTAAATTTTTTTTTTTTTAAATGGAATCGGTTGCTTAAATATGAGATGTCAAAATATTGCTCTTGATGATAAAAGATATTTCAAGTAAATATAAATTATAATTTCCATTTAACATACACCACTATGAGAAAGAGATTGTACAGGTATTATTATGAAATAACACTGATCATGTTCACCTTTTATTCCAAATGGCATGTCCACTTCGGCACTGTCAACAAAGTAATCGGCATGTTCCACTCTGCACTTGAATTGACCACCTGAGTTTTCGATAGAATGGACTGAAGAGCAATAAGATGCTTCATCGCCATCTGTGTCCCCTGCTTCTTCTTGGCATTTAATTCTAGAGCGAGATATTTCGGTTCCATTCTTTAAAAGGATTGTTTCAACAGGTTTTGGGAGGCCACCTCTTACATGGCAGATGATGTCGGTGATGCATGTCTTGCTGTAAGTCGCATTCAAACTCACAGTTGGTTCAACTGGGGAAAAAAAGATAGAGCTTAATGCTGTTTTAACTCAAAAATTGACACTTTTGCAAACACATTTGTTTGATTATTCTTAAAAATCGTTTTGTTTAATTACATGTATCACCCGTTTATTTTTGTTTATACTAGGATACAGGCAATCATTCATTTTCACAGTAACCCCACTTACATCGTATGTATAGTTTTTCTAAGAAAAATAGTATTGCAGATACAAAACTTTCATAATAAAGGAATTTAAATGGCAATATAAATGTAGAAATGGATTTCAAAAAGATCCCAGATTTGTCCAATTACAAAAAGGAAGTGAAAACTAATCTGGTTAGTTGTTTTATAAAATGCTTAATGTGATATAAAAATTATAATTCTATATAAAATCGCAACATATGCTTTTGATAAAAAATTAACCACATAAATAACGCACTAGCAAATGCACTAAACACACAAGTAACTCACCCGCTGTAACTAAATATTTTGGATACACTTGCATCTCGTACCATTTTTCGTCAATCACAAAACGACACTCATAGATCCCGTCATCGACACGGCCCTTTTTCTTTAACGAAAACGTAGCAGTCATGTTGGTCGGGCCAGGCACACGCACGTGTTTTGGGCTGATTGTTAAGTTCATTCCTGGGTCACATACTTGTACCTCCCAGTGTCCCTTTACCCACTGACAAAGCAGAGCGGCTCTCTTTTTTATCATGAGGTTCACCGACGACCTGCCTGCATTATCCCCAATAAACAGTGACCACTGAAGTTTGGTAGTTTCATTCTCTCGTGCAAACACAGTGTCATATTGCAAAGCCGCTGCCAAATAACTAGCTGAAACTAAGTTTGATATCGCAAGTAATTTTGTATATATTTCACCGTGTGTGAATGTGCGTGGATGTTTACACAAAATTTTATCAAGTGTGTGGACGGGATGCAACCTAGGAATATTAAAAAGTATGGCCTGACATGACCTGCTCAGTTAGCGTTTTAGATTCTATTAAAAGGTATCTGTACATATACTGAACAAAAATATAATTGCACGAAAGAATATGTTGATTTATTTTCATGTATGGAACTAGAGTATACAGCCAACATTAATAACATATGTTCCTCAACAAATAGACATCACTTTAAGAGCATTAAGGGAAGTTTAAATGCATAGTCCAAGAGCATGGCCAGAAATATGCAGCATTTACGCGATACGCGAGGGCGCAACAGTAGGGCTTCACGTGACTCAACTAACCAATCACAGCACAAGAATGGCATCGCACACAGACTCTGTGATAAGTGCTCAGCCCATTGTCAAGTAGTGTTAGTTCATGGTAAGGGCCCCTTTACACTGGACGGCGTCCTTTCTGCGTCCCTTCTGCGTTCAAAAATGTGGTCAGGACGCTCAACGGTCGCCAAAGCAATTAAATCGTGTCTCAGTGTAAAGTCGTCTGCGTCCCTTGTGCGTCCTTTGAACGACCGAATCTTGATTTTACCTGTAAAACTGCGAGCAACCTGCCTGCCTCCACTGTACGTCCCCTGTGCAACCCTGTGCGTCCATTGCGATGTTTGAGCGACCATTGAAAATTCTTGCTGTGTTCTCTGTACCTTCATCGGCGATCAGTGGCGTCTATTATACGATCATTCTGCATCCTGCTTGTCCGATGAGCGTTGTTTGGGCGTCCTTCTCTATATTCTAACTCATATTCTTTCATCGGTCCTAACCAGGTCATCCGATAAAGAACATTTCCAGCACACAAAACAAATAAATGGGAATAAACGCTTTAAACTATAGTGATGCAAGGTCTACATGGACTGATAAACAGTCAGACGCTCATTGTTATCCTTATAAGAAGGATGGACAGGCGCCGAAAACGAGAAAGTGTGACTGACACAACATAGAATATTTGAATCCATTTTCAAATGACGCATTCTGCAAAAAGTTCTGACAATTAATTCATCTTGTAAAAAAGGGCAAAATATTCGTTTTATAATAACCTAAAAAAAAATGAATTTCATGAATTTCATGAATTTCATGAATTTTAGGGTAAAAACAATCGGAGGCTGATATGAGAACACTGTTGCCCTTAGAATTCCTGTCTGGTGAAAAATACTTCATCACGGCCCCGTTTGAGAGTGAAAAAAAATGGACGATCTTTGAGTTTTCATTCTGCAACCGAAGCGATGCTTGTGCCTCCTTTCTACGACCGCGGCGATGCTTGTGCGTCCTCTCTGCGACCGCAGCGTTGCTTGTGCGTCCTCTCTGCGACCACGGCGATGCTTGTGCGTCCTTTCTGCGTCCATTGAGCGACCATCCTCCATCGCGTTCTCTCTGCGATTGTTTTGAACATGCTCAAAACATCGCGGCGTCCATGGCGTCCTCGGCGATGCTTGAACGTTCTCTGTGCGACCTTGGCGATCACTGTGCGTTCTTTGAGCGTCCGACGGCGTCCTGGCTAGTTTCATGGACGCACAAAGGACGCAGAAAGGACGCCGTCCAGTGTAAAGGGGGTTTAACAAGCGTCTGATATGTGCAGAGAAGTTTGTTATTATAATATATATTGTTCTTATTGTTACATTATTAAATCTAACTCTGTATCCAAGTAGTAACTATACTGTACCAAGTCAGGTAATGATGATGTACAGAGGTCATATATTCCAGAATAAGCCATTACCACTGATTTATAACTTTCGTTTTTGTTTAATATGTTATTCATGAAAGAGTTCATGAAAGATTATTTTAATTTGTTAAATCGTGATCTTATTCATTTTATATTCAAATAATTGAATACTGTGGGTAAAATTGGTCTTCCACTTCTTATTTGCATTTTTCCTTTACTACATGTACAAGATTATTTTTGGAACAGTTGCAGCATTAAAATTTTTAATAAATAGCAATCTGAAAGAAGAATTTTGCATAATTATTAAATGATGACAGGAATTTTGGATTAAGAGATTAGTTAAATACTGAGTAGTGATATGGTCAGTCAATTTATGTAGAATCTGATAATATGATTGAAAATACTGATTGAATTCTTGGCCTTGCACTGGGCAGTTTAACATTTGTGCCAAGTGCTCTTTTTGGACTCCATTGTACAGTGGTAAAAAATCTTCAATTGCCATGAATTTTTTTAATCAGACTCTGTATGTTACTGCTATCAGCTGGTGCTATCGGCAACGAATTAATTTCCCTTTGTTTCTGAGTGAATCTACCGTCTAAAATCACTATAACTGAAAATATTTGCGTTTTGCTGAGGGTATATAGTCTAGGCAATATACGGCAAACTTCTTAGTACGTGTGTACAACAGAATTTTTTTAAAAACCCTAGCGATATTTGGTCAGGAGTTGCTCGAAGCATAGCACAGCGTTGCTGCCTATCGGCATCAGGCCGTTAGTTTGTCAATTCTCACGAATTACCCACGAATCGCGAACCCATTCATTTTCCTATGGCAATCTAGCAACTCATTAAAAATGCACGCATGCGCAGTGGGCTAGGCGTGACGTCATGCAGTGCATTTCTGGGGATGGTTAGGGGAGGTCAACATCCTGAGTTCACACGCATTAATAACACGTGTGGCCACGATTAGCTTTGCACAGAGCAGTACACTGGCAGCGCATGGGCATCAGTAAGTTGTCAATAGTGGCCTGAGGGATATTATCCCATTCTTCCTAGAGTGCTAGGCTACCCGCAGTTGGTGAGCATTCTCGGGAGCTGGAACATGATGGCAAAAACGTTTTGGATGGGCGACAAATCGGGTGTGGTAACACATGGTCGGCCGGCATGTGGGCAGTTCATTGTGCTAAAAGTGGCTCTGAAGCGTGTTCTCAGACGACTGACACTGGAATGATGCACATTCAGGCATGTTTTAACTTCTGTTACCAACAAGCCAGAATTGAACAAGCCGATGGCACGCTCCCTCATGATTTCAGACATCTGTGGCATGTTGACAAGTGACAGAAGTGCGTTTATATTTTTGTTCAGTGTATATTCCAATGTTGCTACAGACAATATCTTATTCAATTTGCCACGACCGCCGTGTGATGAAATCTTGATTTCAGTGCGTTTATTATCGAATCCTACTGATATCTATAGTTTTGACACCGTTGTCATGTCATACGGGCTACAGCGAGGATGCTAAAATACATTACGGGTGCTTTAAGCGTGACATTTCTCCAGCATAGATGACACATAGGGGAAATCGGTTAGTCGTTAGGAAAGTTAGCGCAAGCAGCAATTTCTGTCTCAGTGCACCTGTCGTAGGCATTTCTTACTGCTTCCTTGAAGATCGATTCGTCATTGGTGAAGCCCCCTAAGATTTATAGCAAACAGAAGAAGGAAACGCATTATTTCCAACTCATTTAAGTGAATTGCACTCATTGTAAACATCCCCACCTTTGCCGTACATCCTTAAATTAGGTTTCCGACAGACCATCAGAATTACCAAACTTCCGATAACAGCCCCTACGCATTCACTTTCAATTACTTAAAGATGCATATG